CAGGGCCGCCGGCCTGCCTCCCCCCTGCAGCGGGAGCGGAGGAGGGGGGTGGGAGAAAAGGGGGGGAAAAAATCCCCCCCTCTCCCTTATTCATTCATTCGTTTATTTATTTATTTCACCCGCCCACCCCCTCGGGAGCCAAACTTCGCGAGGGGAGGAGGGGGGAGCGGAGCGGGAGGGGAGGAGGGGAAAGAATAGGCGAAGCCCCCACCTAGAACAATAGGTCGGTGCAGCTCTTCCCCACGCGACGCCTCCCGCGAACGTGCCCGCCAAAACAGAAATAAATCAAATTACTGTCATCGTTAACAATATCTTTCCTTCTCAATGACAATAAGCTGTTACGATTGGAAGAATGTATAATATCACCACAGGGCCGTGCATTTGGGGATTTCTCGCTGCCTTGGGAAAAACATTAGTCTGAAACGCGAGATCTCATTAAATGTCCTCCCAGGCAAACGTAAAGGGAGGGGAAGGAAAAAAAAAGTGGGTGAAAGTGGCCTAAGAAGGAAAAATCAGTTCCCCGTGATTACGGAATTGGCATATGGGATAATGACATCTAAAGTTGTAAGAGGATACAGACAGATCCTCTCCTCTAAAGGAATTAATTGACAAATCAGAGAAGAGGTATATTAAAACGCTGCCGTATTCTTTTAGCAGTAGTGCAAATGGATGACCTCATAAATCATTAGCTATAGGTTATCAAATTCTAGCCAGACCTGCTACACCCTATATTAAATTAAATGTTTGGAGCCTAATGGGTGATGCATTATTTTGGGGATCTAATTCTGTTATCAATAAATACAGTTTAAAAAATGATTTCTAATTAAGCATGACATTAGCACATGGGCTATTTACAAAGCAAGCAGGGCTATTGTTCAGTTAGGAAAGTGGCCTTATGCAATGTGATGGGAACAACTGTTTGTGATCAAAGTTCATCTTTCTGGGTTTCTCCCTGAAAATAGAATTAGAACATGCCAATAAATTTATTAAAGCCCACAGACCTTGTGCTAAGGGACCAAAGCTGCTTTGCTTGCACGAGGAAA